TTGATGTAGCAAGAATATGCTCCTGAATCGAGGAGCGCCTCAGTCTGGACTTCCCTTACTCCCTGTTTGAGGTGAACAGGTAAATCTATCGCGTGTTTTGACGAACCAGTAGATGCGATGTATAAAAAACTTGATACTGGTACATGCGAGAGCGAGTAGGTACTATTACAGTGTCTATGGAAACTCTGGCCAGACCTCAGAGAACCCACCGAAGAAAACCCTCATCATCTTCTACCTCCGTGATCCTAGCTGCTTCGACAGCTGGTTCCGGTTCTGCCTCCTTTTCCTTTCCCTTCGCGTCGTAGCTGGTGATGAAAGCACGGACTGCTTCATATTTCGCCTTGCTGTCGTCGGAGATGTCTGAGGCCGCATTTGAAGAAATTGCCCTTGCTGCTTGGCCCCGCTTCAGCATTTCGAATTTGCCTTTGTACTTGGGGTCTGGGCATTGCTGTTTAAAAACGAAGGGGTGTTTCCCACACCGTACACACAGCTTCTTCTCCAGCCATCCTTCTTGTTCCTTGGTGAGGGTGGATACTCGATCCACGACCATTGCGTTGGGGTCTTTCGGGGCCCGTGATGCTGATGATGATGATGTTGTAACCGTTCCACATTGTCCTGCCTTGTCGGCTCTGAACTTGGACTCTAATTGAAGGCATAGGTCGAGATATTCTGGCCATGTGATGGGGTCAGAAATTCCTAGACTGTCTCGTGTGACCATTGCCTGGCGTACGTCCTTGCTTCGGTGTTCAGCGATGTAACCGATGAGTGCAGTGTGCCCTAAGTTGGTCTTAGTGGCCCATTGACGGAACTGTTCTGCGAAGGATACCATTGTGGGATACGTCTTGCCGCAGATATCCTTCAAATGCTGCTGCGCATCCTTGTCCGGGTCGAGGGTCCTGTAGTTCACTTTGAGAATGTTGACGAAGTCTTCCCATGTGCCAAGTGCCTGCCGTGCTGCTGCTCTGGTTGCATATTCGGACATGTATGTGAACGCGCCACCTTCCAAGTGCAGTAAGGCCATGGTAATCTTGTGTTCATCGTCGTTGATCTCGTTCCACCGTATCCATATACCGAGTTGTTGGAGCCAGTCCTCCAGACTTCCTTTGCCCGAGTAGTGTGGAGGTTCAGCAATTTTGATGCGTGACTTGTGCGATTGGACTGTGCCAGATGTTTGACCTTGCATCGTAGTGACGCCGCTTGCTTTGAGCGAAGCTAGCTCATGTTGCAGCTTGACGTTAGCTGCCTTGATTTCCATCATTTCTTTGCCTGTATCGAGCATTGCCGCCTGGGTTCCTGTGAGCTCGTCGTTCAAAACTGTCATATGCGCATCTTGCGTGAGGATTCTATCCTTGAGCTTCCCGATCTCCGTCTGGAGCATTCCTTCCTTGAGTCGGTGTTCACTCTTGTTGTTTTGGATCGTTGATTCAAAGGCTTTCTTGTGCTCATACATCTTGTTTCCGAGCACATTGTAGACCTTGGCGATCTCAGTAGTGACCGTGAGCTTCATTGCGACAATTACCCATTCGCGGATGTGGTCTGGGACTTCTCCGGGAGCGGATTGTCTGAGAGCATCTTCCAGGTGCTCGAATTGGTGTCCATCAAACTCCCAGATGGGTGGGACGTAGGCTGGTACAAGTGATGGTGTCGGGGATGCTGGTCCTCCAACTTGTGATGCAGAGTCCTGCAGTCCTAGTGCAGGTTCTGGTGAATTGCGCTGCGAGGCGCCTGGGGTGCTTCCGTCGTGTGCTGACTCGACGTTTGTATGCAGAATGTCATCCATTCTTTGCCTGAATGTGGATGCGTATGCACGATTGGCTCCTTCCATTGTGATATAGATGTAGTTAAACTAATTGAAGATGAAGCCTAGGTACTGCTTGTCCTTGACTTTCCCAATCTCCCTGACGATCTCGTCTAACCTCTGCTGCTTTCCTATCTCCTTGAAGTTGATCCTTCCTATTTCTAGGCAGCACATGTTGACGACCTGTTTGTCGACAAAGGTGTATTCACGAGTCCCCATGTAGAGATCTGCGCAGACTTTGTCTAACTCCGATGCGAGGAGTTGTACCTTCTTTCATTTGTCCTGATCAATTCTCTCCCAGAACGCTCCTAATATCGGTTGTAGTCTGAAGCGGGTAGCGGAGACCTGCTTCTTGAGTGTTTCGATGTGGAGGGTGGGCCTGACTTTGGACGGAAGAGGGCGAATGGGTCGTGCGTGTGTGTTGACCTTAACGAAGTTGGGAAGGGGTCGCACTGGCTGTGGAGCAACAATGGTGGGGGGAACGGCGTTGGGGGTGGTGCCGGCTTGCGACTACCAGTGGTAAGATGCCCCTTTCTGGGCTTGTAGCGTTCAAGCGGTGGGGTGTGATTGCGTGGCTTGTGGATGATTCCGTGCTTTATGATGTGTGTGGTATCTACAACCCTAGCTGCTGCTCGCTGCCTGTCTGTGGACGATGCGCCTAGTGACGCAAGTGTGAGGAGCCTTCCACGCTCCTTGTTGGTTTCCTGATGCTTGTAGTGGGCGTCGAGGTCGATCCTGGGGGTGGCCTTGTGCTTTGAGGCTTTGGGCAGCTCAGAGTCTTGCTGAGGCTCACGCCGGGTAGAGATCGCATTGGAATGTATGTCAAAAAAGCCGCACGCTACGGCTGAAACTGCTTGCGCTGAAAATACGTGGCCACTTGTGTTAAACACTAAGCAGGGGCGCAGAAAATGTCAGATTGTTTCTAATGTCACGGTAACACCGAACAAGAGATCAAAAAGACTAAAAAGGGACAGTCATGTGGAACGTGCCGCCCTGATCCCCCTGATCCCAAAGGTATCCCCCTGAACCCTATGTGGCGCAAGAGCCTGTTGACTTACTGGTTAATGTTGGCAGACGCAGGAAAGGGTGAGAGATATATGAAGGAGCTGGTGAGCTCAGTGAGTGCTACAGGTAGTAGACGAGGAGAAACAATCTGAGGTTTCGTCCCCTACATGGCTGGTCTTATATACACATACAGCAGGCTATCTTACCTAAGCTACCTATCTATGGGTATAAGCAAATGGCCGTACATGAAACAATAGGATGTCCGGAAGTAGAACAATAAGTGGGAAGATCGATGGTTGCCGCAGCAATGCGTGTGCACATCGTGCCTATCTTGGTTTCCCTTTTGTTCTCCGATGTGAACATCGTACCTATCTAGGCTTCTGGCTAAACTAATAGGAAGCAGAAGGCCGATGCATGACAATAGTCCCTGTTCCCTTTGTTCCCAAATGGGTGCCTCTATTGTATCCTGGAATAGACAGGTCCGACCGTATCATCCACGGGTCTGGACCATAACATGTGATGTGGACTATCACCTGATCTCTACGCGTCGTGTCTGTGGCTGAGTGGCGTGAGATATTGGTGAAGCACGTGATCTGTGGTGTGAGAAAAGTTACGTGCGGACTTTGTGGTGAAAATCTGTGACAACCAGCCACTATCTGCAGCAGTTGACAGCGAAAAGCTCGAGCGGAAGTGATCGGTGAGTCATCGCTGATGGAAGATATGCTAAACTGTTACTGATGCGTCTTCAGTATCATCGCCGCCCACGGCATCATGATATGTCTCCTATGTCCTACTTCGTCCCCACTGGCAGTAGGGGTCGCAGTACTGCCATGTGATTTTATCACCACTCTGTTCTCCCGTTCTGGGCACATATGTGCCATACATGATGCATCTGCACTGAACGTCAGACAAGCATATGCCTACACCTTGGAGACCATGGATTCTGTTCTATGTAACATCATGCAGGCTGCGGACATGGTGCTTTTCAAGCTCGAAGCCTTGGATGTGTGCCTTGCTGTTATTGCTGAGGTCACTGCTGCAGATGGACTATCCGTAAACCAAGCCAAGGCTGAAATTCTCAGCCGATTATGGATGTACATCGATGGAAACAAGGAAACCTTACTGATCCATGAACGAAACATCACTATTTTGAGTCGTGTCAATGATTATCTCAGAAAATCCCTGCATTACATTGAACTCGTCCTGCACACTTTAGAGGGCATGCAAAGCGGCACCGAGGAAACCTGACAGATTGCTGCGGGCATGATGTTATCTAATCCAGTGTCGATAGAAGCAGTTCTAGAAATCATATCCATCGACACTGAAAGACTCACCCATGGACACAGCAAAGTCACTATATCAGATGTCGATGACGAACTCACGGTCTCCCCAGGTGTGCTTCTATTCCAATTTGCATTAAGGAGCATCATCATCCTCATGTGGAAGAACCTTTATAGGGCTGAGAAAGGTGCCTGTTGCTGCATGATTACTGAGTTGCCAGAACAAAGGGTCTCTCATCTGCGATTCGATCCCATCTAGCTTCCTTCTACAAAGCCATGCACGTAGAACAGCCAACGATACCATGAGACAACACGGCATCAGTCGTCATCTTAGAGAGTGTTGTGGTAGTTGAAGTCTCTTTGCATTTTCAGTCCGAAATTAGTACAAGATTTCTTAATGATCAGTCACGGGTGCATCCTGAGCTTTACATGGATTCCGTGACGATTTCTAGGAGCATGTGTTGATACGTATGCCTGTTCACCAGCTTTGATTCGATTTGCCTAGCCTGGGTACAGTACACCGAGTTGAGGAGAATGACAGTGATGAGGATGCACGGGTTCGATGCACGAACAGCTGTCAGCAGGCTCAAATTGAAGGGAGGAGAGTTTGACATAGCCTGGTCTTTATTTTGTCAAAAATCCACATCTAATTATGAAATCAGTGAGGCGAGTTCGATGAGGGCCAGCAGGTTCTTAATCATGATTGCACAGAAATTTGAATGTGCCCTGCAATCGTCAGGTAGCAAAGTTGGTCGTGCACAAACCTGTTTGTGTGCAGAGCGGCGATCATCTCCAAAAGAGACAGTAACGTTGTCTCAGTATCTGCCTATGTGCTGCCAAGATACCTCTTCCTCAAGTCTGTCTACGACAAATTTGGCACTTCACACAACATTGAGGTCCATTGTTGCTTCTTCGTGGCAATCGCTGAGGATGGCGACGGCTCACAAAGAACAAGAACTTCCACGTCGCCCAAGCCAAAGCAGCCGAAACCATTCGTGAATGTGACTTCCAGAATGACATCATGGGGTCAATGGTACAAGAGGGTTCTACAAATAGCATGCTGGTGTCCTGGTGCAACTGTATGACGAGTCGCTCGTTGGAGCTGAAAATCTCGAATTGGCGTATATTGAAAAATATGAGGAGATGACCGCCATTATCAGAGAGCATGGTGTAGGAATGCATGCGGCCTAGCAGCTTCATCACGGTGTGCCTCGTGAGAGACATAGCATCTAGCCCAGGAGGTTATCGCTGAAAAGAATGACCGCATAGTGATTTTCTACCTGCAATGCAGCCACTGCTGATCGTTCAACTTATCAGTGACAATCTCCAATGATCGCGGAGGCAAGAAATTACTGTTAGCTTCGAGGGGGAGGTGAGCATACATGACTGATGTGTATCATCGCTCAGAGAATATAATCGAGGAAAACGATTGCATTGTCAACAGAAAAAGGATCTCACGCATGGAGGAGTCATGAAGCATCCAGATGCATATTCCACGTCCAAGGTCGGTCTAGCTGAGTGAACAGTCAGAGCTTTTGATGAACTGCTACCTGCCAGACCATGCTGGCTTAAACGCATGCATCATATTGATGAACATTTCGGTCAGTCTGCCAACCAGAATCGCGAACTGTTGTAATGATGAATGACTTGCTGGTTATCTTGCCTGTCCAGCATCAAAATGTCATAGAAGGGTCTATTTAGCATGTTGATCCAAGTTTTTCCAAGGCTTGGGATTTTTGTATCGACCTCTACTCCGTAGTTTCCTTCAATCTATACCATATCCATAAGCTGCAGATCACCAGTTGGACTTTGGTCACTTGCAATTTCATGACCAAACAACTGCTACCCTTGACCACCTACTGATCGCAATCGTAGGCTGGTGTTAAGGTTGAATACGCACGTGGATGCCTTTGCAACATTCCTTACCTCCAAGTTCCACGTTTCCATCAATCACTCTGAGAATCATGTTCTCTGATTTGTCTGATAAATGATGCTGAGGTTGCAAGATGTGACTGCGGCTCACGCTCCCATTGGATTCAAGAGCACACGTTTGTCATAGAGATTTGAGTGAAAGATGAGAATGTGGCCGTTCGAGGCTGGCTGAGGCTCCAGAGCACGTGCTACTTGGTGAACTCGATGGCACAACCTCATCGTCCAAAACAATGAGCAGCGGCACTGCATCTACTCATCCATCAATGTCAGACATCTCGCTAACAATGTCACAGACTTACATCTTTCATCTGCATCCGGGGCCCGACGATTTCGTGCAACCTGGACACCTCAGTCTCTCCAATATAACCTGGCCATTCATTATCCTGCACTTGATCCCACATCTGCAGATACCCTCCTTTCATTATTCCCAGCACATGCAATCGATGTACTCTCCAGAGCTCGAGGTGTTCTCGACCCCACCTTCGACACCGGACGTGACATGAGAAACTCTCCATCCCTTTCTTCCTCGATGTTCTATCAGGTCCTCCAACTTGCATGTACAGCAGTCAGCTTCACCTGAAAAGTTTTGTATGATGCAGCATCTGCGTGCCCTCATGAACGAGCAATCGTTGCCAGGGTCTTTAGGACGATTGATCACCTCATTCAAATCAAGGTTCAAGCTGGGGAATCATGGTACCCTGTTGACTGATATATTAACCTTTGATACAGCAACTGACGGGCCCATGACAACTAGTGTGGATAGCTCTGAAGTCAACAACACACTGGAGAAGAAGCTCGATCCACGAATCGTACTCCTACTCAATCAACACTACAAGCTGAACATCGTAAATCATGCTTCCGTCCATCCGTATGCAAGAATTTGCAAGTCGTGCAAGCTACATGGTGTTACTTTTACATGCTATGATGCCTCGCCACGTGATAGCCATGTAATCGCTGATACATCGATCCCAGAAGATTGGGAGGTGGCTTTTATCAGGTCTATTTTAGTTCATACGTATGATGTCAAAAGAGCCCCCGAAACGAGACAAACGTTCTTCATCATGCAGAAGCTCAAACCCCTGGATCAGCGCGACTCTATGCATGATTATTACTCTCAGTTTCCTTTCACTGGAGGCCAGCTCTATTACGATGCGCTTGACTCATCCCTGACGTTGCTCACCCCTACAAGCATACTGCATCATTTCGCCCTCACTCTGCATCATACAACATCAATCAAGGCAAAATGTGTACACATGTTACCACTAGACCGCGTAAGCTATGCATTTATATGCACTTACATCTGATACTCATGTTCCACTAGTAGATCCACGGAACTCTCCAGCAATATTCTCGTCGTGTTATGCTTGCCTCTGTCTAGTTAATATCTTCACTGTCTTGAGGTCGTTAAGTTGTTCAGATTAAATAGGCTGACAGTATTCCCAAAGCCAGCCAAGCAGAATGTAGAACTGCTAATGATCGGGGTGACGTGAGTAAAACGCAATCACAGAACGAGGTTATCGCTTCTCCTGCACCTCTGCGGAGAGGAAGGTGCGCAGCTCGATTGATGCTCCATGCTTGAATGTGTATCAGATTCCTCCACACCATGGCTTAGAGCAGTCAAAGGGGAGGCCGTGATATGTGAATCTTTCAGGTCAAAGGTCCATAGCTTCCAACCTTCTAGCGTAGAGGCACTCAGTCTGTGGATAGATTCTACCGGCACTTTGATATCGTCGTACTGTAACTTATGGAATGATGGCTGCAGCCTGCGACGATGGTTGACACTGAGCAGGACGGTGCAGTGTAGCACGTCCTTGACACTACGTTGACCTCCCACTTCACAATGGAGCTGTTCTCATATGTCACGTATAAGGAAATCTTGGAGACAGATAATGGCACTGCTTCTGATGGTTAGAAAGGTGTGAGTGGAAGGATGGGAGATGCCGCACAGTGCTGGGAAGCAGCAAGCTGCAATTGCGTGACTGCGACTATAGATGCATTTTCCAATGAAAGCTGAGCAAGAGGTTTCACGCTATCCCTGCCGATCGACCATACCCGATGGTTCTAGTACTGGAGCCAACCACGGGCAGTTCCTGCATCATTGATGGCTACAGTCGTGAGCATTGTTGCTGCAAATCGGGTGCTAGAGCTGCATAGCAGGATTGAGAAGGTATATACCGTGATATGTGTCCGAGCGTCGGTCCTCCAAACCATGACCTCATTTTGCAACCCCAAGGTCCAAGGTGACAACTACTTTGCCATTTTTGCTAGCAGTGATCACTTCGACATCAGTAGAGACTGCATGCGGGAAGGTAGTGAATGATATCTTCTCCTCGATGGAAGACTCTTCTGAGCTTTGGGAGTCTCGCTCTGGTGTTGTCGCTTTTCTTCTAGAATCTCCACATTCTTGAAAAGGTACAAGAGCAGCACATACAGTAGAAGTGTTGTGATCGTGATCGGCACAACGATGATCTTTACAAGCCATAAGAGAGGCTTGCCTGCACGTGAACACAGCCAAGACAACCTCACCATGTGGGACTGGGGGGCTTTCTCATTGTCTGCGATAGCAACGTGATCCTTCTGTTGGCCTTCAGCAGACGCTAACACCAGTATAGTGGGGGATTCGACATGAATATGAATCAACGTGTCATCAGTGGGATTCAAAGTGTGCCAGATGCAAAAAGCAGGCAATACCAAGTCGATGGCAGACATTCTGTTGTTCTGTCAAAGCAGACTGCGTGCAAGAGGACCTTTGAGGGGTTCCTTGTTATGCAAATCAGATGGAGACATAGTATTATACAGAGTTGCAGCAATAGCGAGCAGCTGAGTCGACATATAAGCATGCATCACAATGTGAAAAGACACAAGTATATGCACCAGTAAAAGGCTCAGGTTTTTCCCCGATCGACCACATATTGTGTTCTTCATAGCAGTGACAGTCTGATTCCAAGTTCTTGGTGGTGGGAGACCTAACAGTACTACCAGCATTATTGATTGATGTTCTGTCTGAGAAGCTCATCAGGCTGGAATTTGGATAGATGAGCCATATCCTGTTTGTTTTGACAAGATAAAAGTCACCTCAAGATGCTGAATGTTGATGGATAGTACTGTTACAAAGAATGGGTAAACCAGGAACCAATGAGCAACCAGGACAACAATTGAGAAGGCGCAGGACTGGCGAATAGTGCCGATGAAAAGGCAATGACACCGAAAACAGTGTTGTGAGAGACAATCTTTGACCATGGTTTGATCACAGATCCTGCGTGACTGCAACCGGGTTCCAAAGGGTGGATCCACGTGAAGCATCGTAACAAGTTTTCCGAGGCAGAAACCATGTCAAATAGATCTGGAGTGCACGTACAAGAAAAAAAGCCACTATAGCTGGGGGCACGTGATTCAGAACAAAGTGTGCCTGACACAAAAAGAGTTGTCTTCCTGGCCACGGAGACCTGATCCTGCAGCTTCATCATCTTCATCGCTCGAAGCTCCCGGCATCATGCTGGCGCACGATATCTGAAACATGGCATGAACGATGAGGTGCACCTTTGAGGAGTCAGGACTCAGATGCTGCATATTAACCTGATTTGCTGATACATGGAACCTAGGACAACATTGCAAACGAAGTGAAAACCGAACAGATCGTGTCCGAGACATTGACGACACCGTTCTACTTTCCCACTCCTTGAAGCTCAGAACATGAGCAACAGACCCGCCGTCTGAGCTCGAACTTCACCAGTTATGTTCAGGTGAGCATATCGGCATTGATGGAAGACTAATTCTAACAGAACAACAGTATCGTGGTAGCATACCTATTTACTGGGTGCAAGGAACTATTAGTATGAGCCCACAGCCTCCCATTAAAAGTAAGTCACATACTTTACATCTGAAAGCACGTTAACGTACAGCAGTCAGTGTCATGCATTGCTTCTACACCACAGCCTCCCGGCACTTTGACGACCTCTTCGCACGCTACGGTGGGCTTATCATGATTCTGAACCTCATCAAGAAGCATGAATCGGTCGCACGTGAATTGAAGCTCAGCGTTGAGTATGCACAGTGCATCAAGTGCCTGAACCAGTTCCTTCTGCGAGACAAGCAGATGATTTATCGCACGTGGGACATGTCACGGACATATAAGGAGTGAGCTACACCTGACTACGTGCAGGCACCCAGTGCTCAGTGCTAATGACAGTAATGCAGAAAAATGCAAGACATGATCGGGTACCTGGAAGACATCAGGGAGGAGTCTATCTAGACCACGGGCTTCTTCCACTCAGGACCAGAGCCATATTCGTATGCATTGCAAATCGAGGCAGAGTATCTTGGCCTTATTGTCTATCCCACCATTGACACTCACCCACTTTGGTCGCTCGAGCATAGGCAGAACCCAGGCATGCCATGGCGTAGCACAATGTCACTCCAGAATGGCATCTGCCGAACGAATTGCATTGACTGTCTTGACCAGACAAATGTCGCTCAGTTTGTCATCGGGAAATGTGCACTTGACCACCAGCTGTACGCGCTCGCTATGGTTGATTCACTGAATCTGGTATTCAATTCGGACGCTGTGAATATGTTGACCGAAATGTACCATGACCACGGCGATAGTAAGTCATCCGACGAGCCAAATGGTTCAAGGTATCAATGAACACTGTTCACTCAGGTTTGGCACTGCAATACACCGGAAGTGCACTCATAAATCAGGTCGAGACCTATCGACACATGCCGCATTGGAACAGTCACTCCAGGGACATCATCGAGCATCTTCGCTGTTTTTATGTCAACTCTCTTCTCGAAGAGCTCATCTACACTTGTCAATTCATGCAGAGCAAATGCTGACAAGCAAACTGCTATCAACCCCTTCCTCGGCATGAATCCTGACTGGCAAACAACTTGCCCTCTCCAACGTGACAAGTATCAAAAATGGTACAAAGAGGAGCATCTTGAGCCGGCCTACATGTTAGAAGACTGTCAGAAAGGCATTATGCAGTTTGTCAACACATGCAGAAATTACTGGATCGAATATCATCGGCCGTTAGCATTCACTTCTCTAGGAAGCACATTGCGTTCTCAGTGAATAGCATACTCAAGCTCCCTGGGTATGTTCTCTAAATTTCCTTTTGGCAGATGTGGTCTAATCTGGAGTTGCAGGAAGACAGCACATGACATGAACTACAGTCCATTCCTGCCCCATCACAACTTGTCCCATCACCACCACCCTTGATACATTCCAGAGGCAGCGACAGGATCTAATTGATCATGTAGCTGAACTATGGTACAGACTCATGGATGGCATTCGACGTTGGATCAGCTCAAGCCCAGCTTCCAGTTCTCAGATCTCACATGTAGACCAGGCCATGTGATCGTACCCCAAATGTGCTGAAGACGCCATCTCCGTGGATCAAAATTCCACTAAATACATTGCAGAGCAGCTTATGAACCAGACGGTCTCGCTGAAGGAAGAGAATGAGTACGAGGAGTGAGTATCTTGAGAATATTCTGTGTCGCCAGCTCATGAAGTGCTTGCAGCTATGTTGATTAGTACAAAGAGCTGCTCATCACCTCTGATGATGGAGTAGCTCACGTGGATCTTGAGCAGTACCAGAACGCCATCTGGCTGACATCTTGCTGACACAAGGTCACCTGTCTTGCTTTCATGAGCCACGAGAGGACGTGTTCATTGTATATGTGGAGAGCGCAAACCCACAAGGGCTGAACGGGCATAGGTACCCATTGCCCATCAAATTTGACTACGAGAGATGGATTGCGGGTGTGACTATGACTTGACGATAATTAACGACATTCGGAGAGTAGGGTATGTGAGCAATGTATCGTACTGTACAACGTTGATATACTGGATGGAGTGAGTGTTGAAAGAGGTTGCAGTTGGCTATGGTAGTTGGCAAAAATCAGTGTAAATCGAGGTATAATGTGATTTAATGTTGCATGCACCCGTCAGACCCCTGTAGTACAACCGAAACAAGGAAAATAGGCATGTTCTAGAACGGACAGTCAAAAATCCAAGCCTGCTTAAAGCAAACTCTCGACAAGCACGTTATTCCTTCTCCATCTGATGGCGCCCTTGCCAAAAGCTGCCTCTAGGACCTCCTCAAGAGTTTACACGAAGACAAACTGCATTTCATGACAAATCTCTGGTGGAACGTCAAGTTCGATCATCCACGGCAGGATCACCTTTATGATCTATGCACGATGTGTGCTGAGGACCTTCTCCTTGATACCACCTACAGGGCCAATGTGTCCACGAAGAGTGACCTAGAAACGGATAAGTTCGGTATCTCATAAGGGTTGTCGTACAGCTCACCTCTCCTGTCATAGTGATGTTACTTGGCACGCAAGCACCCGTGAGTAGGGAGATGAACGTGCAGGTCTGCATGAACATTAGCCCTCATCATACATCATAACCAACAAGTATCACCATACACCATAGCAATCCCAGCAGATGGCCCATCCTTCTTCACTGAACCCGACAGCAAATGCAGATAACTGTCAATCTGATCTGAATTTCTCAATGGGTCCTGACTTCTCGTCTTCGTGATATACAAGTCGTATGCATGTGTCTTGACCTAGCTAAGTGCGAGCTCGCTGCTCTCCTTGATCACATCACTGAGGCTGCCCATGAGCTTCAGCTTCCCGCTCCCAGGCACCATGCTCATCTTGATCAGCAGGATGCCCCCTCTCCCATGCCGGTTATGACAAGCCCATACATGAGCCCACGCCGCTCCTCTCGCACACGCTCCTCCTCATCCCACCTCGCAATACTGAGGATCTTCTCGAGCTCGTCTTCCTTTACAATCTTCTTGTACCCCCTCACTCTGGATTTGATGACCATGCCTTCCAAAGCGCTGTCCGGGATGATCGCATCGTCCAGGTCAACACCCAGGCTGTCACAGTACTTGGCCCATTCGACAGCCTTGCAATGCACTACTGCACTGATTGCTTGCTCTAGCGAGGGCACATCCGCTTCACGCATGTAGTGTGTAGCAATATGGATGAGTGCTGTGTCTGTCAACATGAGGTGGTATGGTGTTAGACCATTCACCTTCAGCTGCTTCAGTAGCAAGAATCTACGCATGATATGCATCTTCTCATTGTATGTGTAACCTAATTTATTCGGTCAATGAAGGCTGAGGAATGTGCATGAGAACATGTTACCTGATAAGTGTACTACCTCGCATCTGTCCAGTAGTGGCAGTGCTATTGTATCGAGCGTGTTCGAGGTGCAAACGAACAGCACTTGACTCAAGCCAATCGGGACGTTGATATAATGATCCTGCAAGCAGATATTTATGTCAGTATTCCGCATTCTCTATCTGCTATGCAATCACTTATGTGGAAGGTGTGGTTCTGCCCCAGATCCAGCACTTTGAGGAGTGCAGCAGCTGGATCACCATGGAAGTTGCTATGAGACCTTGTCTATTTCATCTCTACAGGAAAGTCTATCAGTAACATGTAAAGATATTCCGAACGATACAGTAACTCACACTCACAAGAGAATCACAGGATCTTGTCTACCCACTTTTCTATGAGCCTGCACAATGTTCTCCGGGCCACTGGTGACATACGTCCACCTATGGTGAGATACTCAATCAGCCTCTTCTTGATCTTCTCGAGCCCAAAGTGATCCACATCGAGCTGCTGCCATGCCTTCATCAGAAAGATCTGATCTTGCAGTGCTTCTAGTGAGGTGCTATTCTGGTTAGCCGTCGTCGAAGCGGGCCAGGTGATAGCAGTTAACCACTCCAACTGCAGGTCTGCTCAGTCAACATCACTGAAGCGCCATTTGCATATGCTACTCACATAGTGCGAATAATGCCCTGCTCTATGCTGCCAGTTGGTGTACGTTTGAGCCTCTTCCATTCTCTCACAGCCATCTTGTGTTCCTCGTCATCCTTGGCCATCACCTCGATCTTGCTTCAGATCTTAGCTAAGTCGTGTGCTTCAGCCTCCTCATCATCATCAAGCTCGGACGCCGCCCCATGCAGGGATGGGCTACTAGGATTGTTTGTACTGGAAATCTTGAAGTCAGCCTGTGGGGATGACTGCTACAGGTTGCGTAGCTCATGCTGAATGTCAGCGAGCTGCTGCTCAGGAAGAACTCCTTCTGCTGCTTGGAGAGTGACTCGTCGATTGACTGGGTGATCTTTTTGCTCACTTCCGAAATTGACTTCTGCTTGACAAAGAACAGCTGTGCACTTCAAGCGTTCTTTCATCTCGGTGACAGACAGAAAATCTGGGGTAGGATGTCAGTCTACTTGCCGGACAACCTAAGGTCACAGCACTCACCGAGCTTGTTCACATATTCAGCATTCAGGCTAGCCACCAGCACGTCCGCTATCCATCTGGCCCTTTTTATAGGCACTTCATCGACCATGTTAGTGAGCTTTAAGTAGAAGTTCCGTTTGGCTTCACTAGTGGCATCACTGCTTAAATGATCCAGCAACTTCAACACTGCACCCTTGAACGTCATGAATGTCTCAGCACTAGGGTCACCCTCTTGACAGGGATATTCAACCATGAGCTCAACCAATTCATCAAGCCCCTCTGGAACTTCCCGAGCCTGGGGAAGATGAATGCATGAAAGGCCATAGAGATGCGATTGATGGAAATGATGCAGAAGCGAGTTTATCTCGTGGTGATCATCAGAAGCCATTGCATGCTGCTCGCATCCCAGCGCTCACTGGCATGTCGTCACTGGAAGATAAATGCCATGCATTGATGAATGACATGCTGCTGTCCCTTACAATCTGATTGGCATCACCCCTGCAACGAAGATGATCCCGCTCCACATTATGTCACATTGAACACACACTTACAAGTACATAGCACAGGTGGATAGCAGTCCTCCTTATTGTTGATCTCAGCTATTATGAATCAAATGAGTGGTTGATAATGGAAATAAAGACATTTAGAACTTACATACGTAGCATACGCTCAACTTCAGCCTTGCTGCTTCACGAATCGCTTCCCTCTCCCTCCACACTTGAGAACCGCTGACCGGATGGACCTGCAACAGGGCTCGAGAACCGCTGACCAGATGAACCTGCAACAGGGCTTGACGCATGCACATTAGATGGCCCAACAATAGGAGAGCCATCAGTGTTTGAACTATCAGCAGCCGGCGAAGGAGTGGGAGGGGCTGGTGCTGGGAGTGGAGGGCCTGAGGTACCTCAATGAAGAATATGGGGGGTTTGTGATCACCCCTGACTGGTTTGCCGATACGAGGGCAGTCGTGCATGGCGTGCCTCTTATAAAAGGAAGAGGATTAAATGAGCTAAGAATTGTGTATAAAAGTGATCTTACCTTTGCCATCACTTCTAGGCAGATCTTCGCCTTACAGTGCGGACAGATAATAAGACCGTCCTTTGGATCGTGCTCTATAAACTGAGAGAACCATCTGTCCACAAAGTGAACAGCAACAATAGGGGGGTGGAAGCTTGCGCTGTGCATGAGATGGTCCTTATAATGAATACTGGTTTTACATTCGTCACAAAATGTTAGGTTCTTCGAAAAATGCGGACTTGGCTGTATATAGTGTTCTAGAAGTATAAAGGTCCACGAGTTAAAGATAGTCACCTTGTAATCAGGTCCCGCACTCTGCAAAGACAACGGCGGCACCGGCTGCCCTCTCGCGTGTGTAGTGTTGTGACATTTGTGAACTCGATTCATGTTGTATGTTGAAGAACGACAGACAGCAGGATCAGTGCCAGCAGCAGGATTGATATCAGATATCAGAAGGTGTGATCGACGTGTCTAAGCCATATATATGTTGCTATGCGGGCTGGCAGATCGGGATCAATATTTCACGTTGTCATTGGCTGAGCACTGTCGGCTTGTATATTCCACAATGTCATTGGCTGATGTCACGGTTTTACCTGACAAAGTCATTATAGGAACAAATGCTATTAAGGAGCATATCATTTTTCATCATTTCTCGTCACACAAGAAGTCATGTGACCTAATGAGATAAGATAAACGAGGCACCCAGTCACATGACCTCGGATTTCTCTCGGCATTATCACGTAACACTGAACTCCTCAGCATGGCATCACATGTCGCAATCACCATGACACCATATTGTGTGCTCAAGAGGAGCTCTGTCTCTGTGAGCTATTATTAGACAGCCAATCAGGATAATTGGGATATGTCATACGGTTGTAGCACTGACCAGTAGGATAGCGTGTGACTCACTTATGTAGTACTGTACAGTAGCATAGCAATCATGTATATAAGGACCAGCGAGACGAGGAGGAGACCTCAGTCTTATTCTCCTTCGTCCTCCACTACCATCACAGAGGGGTCTTACCAGACACTCTCAGTGTGCTATATATCTAGTATCATCCTCATTTGTGATAGCGCCCCTCACCTCGCCAGTAAGTCTTACTTTGCGACTAGCGACTCGGCCTCGTCAGTGAGCACGTCGTATCGCCACAGCTCGTCGCTGTAGGCTCTCAGCCAGGAGACCCTCAAGGGGACTCCTTATTTTGGTTATCTATCTTTGTCATCGGCGTGCTGTGACATTAGAATAAGACTGACCTTTTACGCTCCTACCAAGTGTCTAACACTGATAGCTGCGCATTTTCGCCCAGAGACACTCTGGCCCAGGGCAGGCCTATTTCCACATCACTTCCCTCATACACTTCCTCTGCATCTCTACCACCTAAGCTGCTTCCTTCCTTCAAAAGGAACAGTGCTGCACCTCGAACCATCAACGGTACCGTTCCACCCAACGGATGCTACCATCCCTATCAAAGGAAACCCAGAGTCCACCATCTGACTCAGGGAAATCTCGTTCAGGTGCAGCCCTCCCAAGCTGGCTCACAAGGAATCACAGCCAAGCATCACCAACAGGAGCACAAGGTTAGCCTCTGGCTTGAAGACATTCCAAAGGAGACGCTTACCCTGTCCGTTCCACTTCAACCTCCTCATTCCTATGCTACATTCCCCGCCATTGACGTCCTCAATTTCACGCTCTCAAAGAGCTACCATTCCCATGGGATCCACAAAAATCCCAAAGGTACTCTCCCCGAGAACATCGCGCTGACTGTATATGCTACCATTCAGTGATACAAAGTCTTGCAGCAGCCTCACATCGCGGCCAAGTTCACAGAGGAGCAGTTGAAGTGCCGAGACAGAATTCTTCGACACCTATCAGTAATAAACGAGCACATCGGAGCCGGGCACGATTTCACATTCATCGACAGGTGCATCACTATCAAATTTTGTGTAGGACTAGGAAAGATTTCCTTCAAGGGAATCAATAAGGAGCAGGAGCGCGTAGGCAAGGAGATAGTAAAGTTTGAGAAGGAGTCGTGCTACTGGCCTTACTAGGACCAGTAATATTCTTGTACTACCATATCAGCAGTTGTATGCCCCGATATCAAATCGCTTTCGCATTCAGAAACTACGTGGTCGAACATCGCATAACCGACCATTATCACCATCTTGTGTGTATGGGTTACTTCATCTATCAACCCCTACTATCAGAGCGATCCATCCCACTCTATCACTATCCAGTTGACATCGAACGACAAGTCACCCTGCACACACCTTTTCGACTCATTGAAACAGACATCGAGATAATTGATCCAGTCCGCGAGTGGATAGAAAATGCTTACTGGGAACGTCTTGCTCGGTTGTATCAAGAAGACGAAGAACTCTTCTGGATAAACTGGTACAGAAACTTTCCAGAACAAAGACACCCTCACCCAACAAGGCTAGAAGAAGCTGCAGCACGAAGGAATTGTGTCATCGAACTAGCACAATTACCGGGAGCCAATAATCAGCCTCAGTAAAAGCTCACAATTTCGAACACACTCTCTGCCGCCTCTTTCCCACTATCTTCAACATTGATTTCCATGTCTCAATACAATTTTGGAGGCGTGACATTCCCAGGAGGACATACTGCAAGTGAACCTTCTAACCCATGGAGGAGTAACGCCCCCTTGACACCATCTGAAGCAGGACCAGCTGCCCCTGCAGAAGAACCCCACAACAGCAGCACACCCAAGGCGTCGGGAGTAGTCAGAAACCCATCACCTACCACCCTGCCAGCATTCTCCACACCTCAGACTTGGGAATGGCAGGGAGTCCCTTACGCAACCATCGAGGAAGCCGCCAATGCCACTGCACCAAACACCATCCCAAATGATGTTAAGGAATGGGTAATGAATGTGGTGTGATCATTCATCATGAGAGACATTGTAAGCTCGTATAAAGCCTTACAACAAAAGATGGATGAGCGACACGAGCGCACGGTGGCCGCGTTGGAAGATGAAGTACTGGCTCGCATCCACGTCAAAATAATGGCAGTGGAAACGCGAGATCAGCTAAGGACTGCAAGAGCCCAGATCAGCACCCTCTCCACCGACAACGAACAGCTCATCAAGTCAAATAACAGTCTGATGCTCGAAGCCCAAGCAATCCACAAGGACTTCGAAGATTACAAAGATGAAGTAAAGTGTCAGATGGACACCCTTTATGGCAACATGGTTGCCCTGAAGAAGGCTCAGGAAAAGACCACTACCTACATTGTTGGCTTAGAGTCTTGACTCAATAATGCCATCATCAATGTGCCCTCCACAGGTATCCAACAACCGGCCGGCCAGGCCAGTCAATCACCTCACCGAATTAAGCTCCCCGACCCTGTCAAGTATTTGGGAAGGAAGTCGTCGGAAACTTGGTTCATGAACCTGCTCATCTGGCTCGATTATAACCATTTTACGGATGACAAGGATAAAATTTGGCAGGCCAATGCACATCTAGAAGGCGGAGCAGCTCTATACATGAAAGAGTATGCAATCAAGCTCGCCTCCAGACAAGATGTTGGCACATGGGCAGAATACACCAGGAAACTGGAGATGGCATACAAGACGCTTGACCCCAAGCGCATAGCACAATCATTGCTAGACGCACACTGCACAATCCGCCACAAGACGATGATTGCCTTCGCGGAGAATTTCAGGGTCTACGCTCCCGAATCAGGATACTCCGATGAAGATTTAATTGTCAAAATCAGGGAGCAGCGGTCAGCCCACATTCAGATGGTTATGTCAGTCACGGAGACTTTAGATCCCTCCAAGATCCCAACCACTTGGATGGACTACCTTGAATTCTGCCTAGAGATTGAAATCAAACATCTCCAGCAGATCTCGGGCAACAAGTCTACCGGACAAACCACGGCAACCAAGGCGGCCGCCCCTAAGGACCCTAACGCAATGGACACCAGCACACGAATCACCCACGAACTTTCCCCGAAACAGGACAGATGGCTGGCAAACAAATTATGTTTGTTTTGTGGAAAGCACGCCTATGAATGAGGAAAGCGGTGCCCCTCTCCTAAGCCAGAATACAAGGGCAAGCAGTTTCAAACCTGATCTATCCCAAAGCAAGGCAAAGGAAAGGGCAAGGCAACAAACGTGCGACAGGTGGAAGAAGAAAGTAGCGCGGACTCATCAGCTCAAATTGCAGCATTGGAACAAGCAATTGCTGCACTTCGTGGTATGAGCACAACGTCGACCACGCCACCATCCAGCAAGGGGAAGCCAAAGGCAAAGGCGCACAGCGTGGACACAGAATCAACGATATCGGCATCAACAGTCAAGGACACCAATGCGAGAATCGTCGAGATAGACGATTTTTCAGAGGATTTTCAGTATGAAGTGTAGACGAGTCTGGTGTCACACTTAAGGACAATTGTATTAGTACCGTGAGAACGAATGTACCTAGCGACCACATATATATTGCATCCGCAGATTTTTCTAAACATTCGATCGAACTGCCAATAAGATTCGTATCACAGAAAATCCAGACAACAGCCCTATTGGATTCTAGAGCATTCTCTTGCTATATCGATCAAAGATTCACCGAGAAGCACAGGTTTAAGATGATACCTCTAAACCATGAAATCAGAATCCTCAACGCAGACGCCAGCCCCAACAAGGGTGGTGCAATTACTCATCATGTAGTCACAAGCATCTTAATCGGGGAGCACCGATCAACCGAGAGTTTGCTCGTCACAAACCTTGGACGCATGTCAATGATCCTTGGCATGAAATTTCTACAAGAACACAACCCCCGAGTTGACTGGGAACATAGAGAGGTCACATTCTCAAGATGCTGACACATGAGGAAGCAACGAGTCAAAGTATGTGAAGAAGAAGTCAACCTTCTATCGCAACCTCAGCTCAAAAATGAAGCAATTCTCCCCGACGTACACATGGATGATGGGTGGGATCAGGAAGATAACTTCATCAACTGGATAGACTTGCAAGACCAGGATCTTCGTAACATGGTGCACGACATCCTAGGCATAAGCAAGAAGGTAAAGGAGCATTTGGTAGAACAGCCGGCAGAAAAGACACAGGACAAAGAATATTGGTCCAAGTTCATCCCTCCAGAATTTCATCAATTTGGAGATGTGTTCTCGAAGAAGAGCTCAAAAAGAATGCTGACACGTAAGCCCTATGATCACGCAATCAATCTTGTCCCAGACGCGGCAACTCCGAGACTGGCAAAAGTGTACCCTATGTCTTTACGAGAGAAGAACTCGCTCGATGAATGGATTGACGGCGAACAAGCCAAAGGCTACATTTGACCGTCTAAATCCCCTTACACCGCTCCGGAATTTTTTGTCAAGAAAAAGGATGGCTCTCTTAGACTTGTCCAAGACTACAGGGCATTAAACAGTGTCACCAAGAAGAACAAGTTCCCACTCCCGTGAATTAACGATCTCATTGATGAACTCTCCAGGGCTAGTATATTTACCACACTAGACCTGAGATGGGGGTACAACAATGTATGCCTTCACAAAGGAGATGAGGAAAAGGCAGCGTTCATTACCCATAGAGGGTTATTTGAACCCACCGTCATGTACTTCAGATTCTGTAATGCCCCTAGCACTTTTCAGGCCATGATGAACGACGTCTTAGGCAATCTCATTCGCACTGAAAAGGTGGCCGTTTATATAGATGACATCATCATCTTTACAGATGACCACGAGGAACACGACCGTCTGACCAAGGAGGTTCTACAACGACTTCGAGACAATGACCTGTTCATGAAACCAGAAAAGTGTCACTTTGCGACCACTTTCGTCAAGTTTCTCAGACTCATAATCTCAAAAGGGTCGATATATATGGACTCAGAAAGGTCGACGGCGTGCTCAAATGGCCGGTGCCCACCAAGGTAAAGCAAGTACAAGCATTCCTTGGTCTGGCAAATTTCTATTGATGATTCATCAAGGATTTCGGATCGATGACCCGACCCTTGACTCTATTAACACGTAAGGACGCACCATGGAAATGGGAAGATCCTCAACAAAAGGCATTCGAGGCCCTCAAAACTGCATTCACTTCCGCCCCCAATCCTAGCACTCCCTAACACAATCTGTCCCTATAGACTAGAGACAGATGCCTCGGACTTTGCCACAGGTGCAGTCCTTGAACAATTGGGAGAAGATGAACTCTGGCATCCTGTCGGTTATTACTCCAAGTCACTCAATGAACACGAGCGCAACTATGAGATTTATGACAAGAAAATGCTAGCTATCATTCGGGCATTGGAAGAATATAGGCAATACTTTGAAGGACACCCGCACCCGGTTGAGATATGGTCGGATCACCTTAATCTTACCTATTTTTGACAAGCTCAGACACTGACCAGATGACAAGCTCGATGGTCACTTTACCTTACAAGATTTAACTTTATTCTCTGTCACCGCCCCGAAAAGACGATGATGCGTGCCGATCCTCTGTCCAGGAGGCCAGATCATGAGAAGGGGGTGAGCAATGACAATTCAGGGCAAACTCTGCTTCGACCCGAATATTTTGTCATCCATGCGATCTCAGCCACTCATTCCTCCGAAGTTGACGATGCAAAGCTTCTAGAAAGAGTGAAATCGGCACTGAAAGACGATGAAATGACTAAAGGTTACCAGCACTTACTAAAAACTGGCAAGCGAGAGTTCAGAAAAGACCTCCAAGAGTGGAACTTCAAGCATGGATTGCTGCTCAGAAGAGAAAAGGTCTACGTTCCAAAGGACTCTACGCTGTGGAATGAGCTGATCAAACTACACCACGACATCTCCACGGTCAGACACCCTGGATGATGGAAGATGCAAGAACTGATTAGCAGGAATTATTGGTGGCCAGGGCTCACCATTGATGTTAAGAAGTACGTCCAAGGCTGCGTAACCTGTCAAAGAAATAAGACGAGCAAGCAGAAGCCTTACGAACTACTTCAACCTAACCCAGTACCAGAAGGACCTTGGGAAATGGTTACATGCGACCTGATTACGCAGTTACTGCCAAGTCCAGACCATAGGGGAGAAAAGAAGACTGTCATTTTGGTAGTCGTTGACAGATTCACCAAACATGCTCACTTCTACCCAGTAGATGATATGGTGACAGCATCTCAAGTAGCATCAATTTTCTACACTGAAGTATTCAAACTACACGGAATTCCCCGGCAGATCATATTCGATTGAAGCACACAGTTCTCAGCCAAGCTATTTCAGGAGTTCTGCCAGAAACTTCATATCAAATCTACGATGTCTATAGCTTATCACTCTGAAATAGATGGACAGACCGAGCGAGTCAATCAAATTCTAGAGCAATATCTGCGCATGTATTGCAATTACTGAGAAACTGATTGGGCCACACTATTGCCCACAGCGGAATTCGCATACAATAACCAAGCTTCAGAATTGACAAGCCTGTCCCCATTTTTCATTGAGCATGGTCGACACCCCCAAATGGCGCCAGACGTACTGGAAGGAATATAACATCCATCCCTGGAACACCTATTCCACAACTGTGATCAAGCACAGGAACAAGCTCGTGCCGCTTTATCGTTAGCAGCAGAAAAAAATGAAATGGTACTTCGACCTTAAAAAGCAGGACGTCCCTTTCAAAGTAGGAGATGAAGTGCTTATTCGAGGAAAAGATCTTCACGTCAAAGTCAAAAGCCAAAAGCTAGCAACTCAAAACTATGGACCATTCAAGATCCTCGAAAAGATCAGAGTCGTATCATTCAAACTGCAACTACCAGCGGACATGAAGATACATCCCGTGTTTTACGCTTCTAAGCTTATAATGTTCCATCAAGACTCTATCCTGGGATGCGTACCTCCCCTTAACCCTCCAGTCATCATTGACAGAGAGGAAGAATGGGACGTAGAAGACATCCTGGATTCAAGAGTCAGGTATAACAAAATCCAGTATCTCGTGAAATGGTTGGACTACGACCACAGCGATAATACTTGGGAACCATTGAAAAACCTCACAAACGTCAAAGACAAAGTAGAGGAATTTCACAAGACACACCCAGATGCTCCAAGAGCAAAGCCGTGAACATGCAAAGCACACAAAATCGCTCTGTCTGACCACCCTGATGAATTTATGCTCTTCTTCTGCACCCATCCGAATGCCAGAGCACCCTACAAGGGTTCTGCAGAAGCTGTTGGCTGGGATGTCAAGTCCATACAAGACATAGATATTCCCTCACACTCCCGAATGCTCATTGGCACCGGACTTGCAGTTGATCCCCCAAAATGGACATACATTCGAGTGGCCCCCCGAAGTGGGCTAGCCCTCAAAGGAATAGATGTCGCAGCAGGGGTAATTGACCCAGATTACATAGGGAAAATCAAGGTGCTTCTCGTTAACATGACCAGCAAACCATTCGAGGTCAGAACAGGCAATCGTGTCGCACAACTCATATGCGAACGTTATGCTCCAGGAATCATTTCTGAAGCAGATAGTTCACTTCCAAAGCGAATCATATGAGGCACCAAAGGCTTTGACTTTTCAGGACGATGAATCTTGAGAAGGGGGTGATGTCACAGTTTTACCTGACAAAGTCATTATAGGAACAAATGCTATTAAGGAGCATATCATTTTTCATTATTTCTTGTCGCACAAGAAGTTATGTGATCTAATGAGATAAGATAAACGAGGCACCCAGTCACATGACCTCAGATCTCTCTCGGCATTGTCATGTGACACCGAACTCCTCAGCATGGTGTCACATGTTGCAATCGCCATGACACCATATTGCGTGCTCAAGAGGAGCTCCATCTCTATGGGCTATTATTAGGCAGCCAATCAGGATAATTGGGACATGTCGTACGATTGTAGCACTGACCAGTAGGATAGCGTGTGACTCGCTTATGTAGTACTGTACAGTAGCATAGCAATCATGTATATAAGGACCAGCGAGACGAGGAGGAGATCTCAGTCTTATTCTCCTTCGTCCTCCACTACCATCACAGAGGGGTCTTACCAGACACTCTCAGTGTGCTATATATCTAGTATCATCTTCATTTGTGATAGCACCCCTCGCCTCACCAGTAAGTCTTATTTTGCGACTAGCGACTCAGCCTCGTCAGTGGGCACATCGTATCGCCACAGCTCATCGCTGTAGGCTCTCAGCCAGAAGATCCTCAAGGGGACTCCTTATTTTGGTTGTCTATCTTTATCATCGGCGTGCCGTGACAGCTGGCTATTGCCGGTGACATCGAGATCTCTCTGTCTTGCTCATATCAGCTCGACAGCAGCTGGAATGAATACAGTGAACCCTCCTCTTCGCAATACGTACCATGCGCTCTGACGATGAATGGCAGATTGAACATTTCTGTTCGCTCGTTCGTGTACGTTCTCTTTCAAACTTTTGCTCGCAGTGCACTGATCGTTCCCCTGACAATCATCGTTATCATCATCGGCTTGTTGACTGCCGCTCCTTTCTGCTGAGCCTTGCCATCATCTCTGCTGTAGCCATGCTTATTGCTGTGGGCGCTGTCCCACTTATGAGCTGCTGAGCCGGCTTACCGTCACCATGACCGTCAACGTCTGCCCGACCACCACTGAGACCATGTCGATCGTGCCCACCCTCCACCTGGAGCCTGGGATGAGTCATCCTCATTCACTTGGGGCTGGCCCGAGCTCACGACCTTTCCCTGGGTATCCTTCTCCCTCCACGACTGACACCCCATATGGCCCACCTCCCCATTCCATCCAGCTCAACCTGGAAGACGCTCTCTTCTCTCTCCTGCCTGACTGCCTCGCCCACTTCCAGCTGGGGCAGGAAGTGCAACACGGGTTTCATCCAGTGTTGCAACACCGGTCGGTGACACGTCGAACCCGGATATTCTCAGTTTGGTGGGTGATCTGCTCGACAACGTGGCAGGCCTCATCGGCATTGGCTGTAAACCCATCGTTGGCGGGAATGTCTGGTGAGTGCACCGTGCGAGTGTTCCTATTGAGGTTGGTATAGCTGACGTGCGTTATCAGCTCGAACTCCTCTGTGTGCTGTGAAGGTGACATCTTCGGCAAGTCTCTATTGCATTGTCGTTCATGGCAAAACATGCTTATGCACGTTCTCTACCAGCAGCTTGATCAGCATCGGCTGCATGGCTGTCAACATCAATCTCTAGATGTGTTTCATCCTCTGATATGTAAGTGTAAGTCCATACCTATAGAAAAGTACGAGGACGCACACGTGCTGACAGGCTTGGTTGTGATAGAAATGCGCCATATATGGTTCGTAGGTAAGTCAAAGTTGGTGTAGCCGCTGCCACGTGTTGTTGTCTGTCACCATATCGTTCTCCTGGATTTTGCAGTTCCCTCATGTAACTCTTTGTTGTTTTCTATACACAATGATCCTTGCTCGTCGACATTCGCTGTATCTCTTTACATCAAAGGTTCTACATGTGTCACTTCACATGGCCCTTCACATGTCCTCGCACAGCATGCCTTCACCACTGATACACCGCTTCTGAACTCGTTGACCACCAGTCCACAAATACAAAGGCCTCCGTCAGAGTTGAGGGTCTTCACAAGCATATGTGTTGATGGCAATTGTAATTTCCTGAGGCCCAACGTACGTCGACATTTCGGACAACTTTGGTTTTTTTATTCGTGACCTCAGTGTCTTCCTCATTGAGATACTTAGACGGTAAGTTTGATCAATATCTCTCAATTTTACGCAAACATCCGATGACGGCCAAAGATAGTTTTGCAGATCTACTATCACGCCGTCTTCTCAAAGCCACTGCACAAGCTCAGACAACACTGCTGTTAGCAATGATAATCTCCACCGTGAATGTACCAGCAGCACAACCGAGCAACTCGATCTTCTTCACGACATTGTCGTAGCTGTCAAGGACTTCACCTGAATAGCAAAATTAGGTAAACGCCCTAGTACGAATCAAATGACTACATACCAAAAACGACGTAGGAACCATTGAGCCACTCAGTTTTGACCATGGTGATAAAGAACTGCGCTCTGACCTTCACCATCGAGAGTAAACCAGCCTTCTCGTGCTTGAGCGTAAGGTTCTCGTCTAGCAGCCATACCCTGTATAGGTGGCATTGGCCGATCGGGATCTCACAAATGACTTACCAGCAAACTTCTTGCCATATATGGGCTTTCTGCTGTCATCCTGCAATGCGATGACACTCAATGACAGCGAACTATGTGTGGTCTCGATCTCGTATACACACAGGTGATGTCACCATCCTGAAGCAAGAAGTGGGGGATGATGCGGTGGAATGAACAACCCTTATAGCCAGACCCACGCTGGCCAATGGCAAGCTGATAGAAGTTTTTGACCATCTTGGAGACGACGTTGTCGTACAGCTTGAAGACGATGCACTCGAGGAACATGCCGTTGACGTTGATATCGAACTGCCAGCAAGGATGACGGTGAGCACGTCGCTCGCAATGATACGCCCTGCAGGCTGGGTACTTACGAATATGTTTCGATTGGACATGGTGACCAGGATGAGAGCAGCAGTAGCGGATACGGGGAAGCAGGAGGTGAGGAAGCAGGAGGGCTACTGTGTGGTGCTTATCTTATTTGTCTGTATTTTATGTTCATAATCGGCAACAGGCGGCCAACACTGTACCGATTCCTATAGTCAGCTCAGCAAAATTCTGGTGGCATTCAGTCATGTTGACATGACATGACATGACATGACAACTCTGTACTAGATAAAACAGACAATGACTAGACATGACATGACCAGACAATGACTAGACATGACATGACAGGACGGTTAACCAACTTATTTATGGACTGAAATATCTTCCTTTGGGAAAATAGTTTCACTATTACCAATATGTTTCAGTAAAACAATCGTAACATAATTTAATTGTTTCCACCCTATTTTCAGACTATTTCCATATCCAGACTTAAGATATTTTCACTGTTTTTTTATCAGGTTTTCCGTAGAAAAATAAATCTATGCAGGCTGTGCTAATGTGGTGAAAAGCTATTCAGAGGGCGATCGTCAAAGCCAAACATACTAACCACAATATAAACTATCCCAGATGTTTTACATGAAGAATGAATCCTTTACATGCCTGAAGTGTATGGCATGACTTTATGAGCATTATAGAGTATTTAGATTGATAATAATACAGGAAACAAGGCAGACACACCCTGATGAGTTTCTCATTATTCCATATGAGCAACCATGCCAGGAATGTATGGCTATCTTCCCTCAGATGCTGGTGGAGATGGTCCTGCACAGTGCAAGACACTATTAACATGTCAAGAACTTCACAAATGCATCAGCAGGAATGTGTCAGCATAAACGCATCAGCATGCATGTATCAGACAAGAGAGCACATGCTCACTACATCGCATGTACAGCCAATCAAATTCGAGATGAAGCTAAACTCAAATCAATAGACGTGCACATTCAAGGAAGAAAGCACGTAGGTGATGCATCATGTGTAAACTGTAAGTGCTGAAACTAATAGACATGTGCATCGAGAAAACATCATGTGGGTGACACATCACACATACAGCCAATCTGAATATAGATCATAAGTGCTGAAATTAATAGATGCATGCATCCAGCAAAAACATCACATGGGCAACGCGCCGCACGTCCAGCCAATCAGCATCATAATAGGAACCATACTGAATTTAATGGTCAGTCTGTCATGAAGTTGTTGTAGCATGGAAAGTGACTGTATAGTAAGAAGAAGATGTAAATTGTCTATCTGAAGCAGTAGCCTTTAGGTGGCTTACACTAAGGTGCGCAGAAATTAAGAAGTGCACGGATAAGCAACAAATTCTAATTATATTTGGTAAAGCACCAGTATGCATTAATGACCGGTAAGCTTGACTTTCTCACTTTAGCCCTACTACTCATCAAATCCCGTCTGCTGTTCTTTCTTTGTCGATCACTCCAACGATGTTCTATCTCTCAATGTGCATTCATACATTGCCATGACAGTTCGCCTGCTCTCCATGCTCTTTGTATCTCTTCTGAACTCGCTGTCCCAATTTCTCGCTCTACCTTCAAGCAGCAAATGATCTTCACACTCCATTCCATGCTGATGGTATGGGTGACATCTGCCAGTGCACTGCCATGTCAATCTTCTTTGTCTGCTGTGCAATGCCACACCTCCAGCCTCTGCTCGATTTCATCGTTCATCTCCCCCAACAAGGCTTCTTTCTCACTGTCATCTGACAATCTTTCCAACCCTTTCCATCCTGCCTCTACGAAGTGTTCAAAATTTACTGCGTTAAGGCCTGATGCCAACTCGTCCTCATCGTATTGATGTTCGTCAAACAAGTCATCATTGTCAGGAATCTTCTTTAACTCCTCTGGGATTCGCAGATTGAACGGATGCACCGATATGTCCAGATTATACGAATGTTGAAAGAGATTGCCCAGATGGAATGTGCGATGTGCCAGGGTGACTAACTCGGATGGTAGTCCCAAGATGGTATGGTGGAAGGGGCTGGCATATAATCTGGTACGAGCACTATATGCTTTTTTGTTCTGTATTGCATACCTTGCACGACCTCTGTCAAAGGTTATGCATGTTTCATAAGTTCGTTACCAGCCTACCTAGCTGACTGCACATATTTCTTTTCTCTCGCCTAGCTGCGAGCCTTTCATTCAGTGTTTGATACTTTGCATGACACCCCATGGTAAGTTCGGGAGAGTTGAAAATGCTAAATTGGGGTAGCTCTGATAATGCCACTTCAATCTCTGACAGATAAGGAATGCATTTATTGTGAATGAGTATTGCTGCTGACAAGAAGCTAAAGGATATATGTGCAGCACGAGAAAGACTAGTACAGTGACAATTCACAACTGCTGCATTACAGGCTCAAGGGAACTCAGATAAAGATGATGATAACATGTCCATTGATATGCACCGAAATGTTGTGCACTTGCAAACCCTTCTGAAAGAGTGCGACTCAATAACGCATATCTGTCAAGCGAAACAGTCTGGACGAACCAGCACGAGGGCTCCTGACTCTAAAGAACCCATGGCAGCAGCATCATATCGCAAAGGGTCATAATGAGGCTTGAAAATGAGCCAGAACCCGCACGTTAGCACCACCAATTATGAAAACAAAGGAGAAGAGACAGAGCGGAACAATTTTGGTAAAATTGGCACGAAAGTTCGTTCTAAGCGAGAAAAGCGCCAGGATGCAGACCACTGGACCCTTGAAAGCCTCCACCTTCCAGTTTCCTGACTGCAAGCAATGATAAGGAGGAGGCGAGAAATGTTTTGTAACTGTTTCAGGGGATCAGAAATGTCTTCTACTACATTAGAAGGCACTATTCTACACCTCTATAATGACCTCTGTACCTATCACAAAAACAACGAGAAGTTCACCCTTCAGATTTCAGTTCTACGCACCTATTCTCGATAAGGTAGCACACCCTATTCAGTCTCACTTGTCTACGTCTTCATATCACATCTCATTGGCTCTCGACACCAAGCTGGGCCGCACTTCCATAGTGGCCCAGAGCTCAACTCGAGAAGCACCCAGCAAAGTCACATTACCACATTTTCTCCTCATGCCACCTCATATTACCACATTTTCTCCTCATGCGACCTCCCACACCACCAGTCACGAGCTCTAGCCACTCAGATTTCCATCCCAATCAGATTCCATAGCCTCAGCAAGTGCCCAGGTCTGGTCCATGGATCCCTGCATAGATGTCCCAGAGACCTAGGGAGCACCCAAACCCCATCCGTAGTGCTGGGGAGAGCTGCCTATAGTGCCCAAGCCACAAAATTAGTCAGCCAGAGACCCACGTCACTGCTCGATCCTCGACCATCGACAATCTGCTCATCTGAGGCATGTCCCATCCCTCTAATTAGCCCACAATCTATCTTCTTCTCGACTCATCCAGAGTCAGGGATACTCCTCTAGTCCTAATCACCACTCACCGCTCCATTTCAAGTGCAATGCCGAATGACTCGCAGCCACCCCTCAAGCTGAGATTCCTGCAACTGTGGCTTACAGAGAACAGAGATGGATAGCTTTGATCCACCTTCCTCAACAGGATAGGATGTTGCTGGCAGCCAGAAAGCAGTTGAGCATATCATTTCTGGAGCCCACCGCGGGGGCGAGTGGAAGAGAATTTAAAGTCCACGGTGTGGAGTTGATCGTGCTATTCTTGGAAACCAAAGAGATAGTTCGGTATCCCCTTGAAACCCAAGCGAACTCACAACCATAGGTGATTCGTCAGACAAAGAAGTCTTTTCGTCATTCAATCAGTGGCTCAGTCAGTTACATAAGTTCTTAAGGGCAGGATTTGAATGAATAGAAGAGGGCAGATCTCATTTAGCCAACTATCATTCATCTCCATCACACGAAACATAGCTCTCGGCGTCCCAATCACAATTACCTACTACCTCACCTAGCATTTTTCCCCTGAGCAAGGAACCAGAATCAGGGTCAGACCCCCATATATCTGCCTATTAACACAGTATTCGATCCCGATCAGCTGAGAACACTATTTTGATTCTTTGATGACCTCAAAATTCTCTTTAACCATTGTCAAATCACGAATGAAGCCAACAAGAAGCTGTGGATAAAACACTACCTTAACATCGACGTCGCTGATCTTGTAGAATCGCTTTCAGACCCCTTGAAAATGTACCGTGACTTGAAGCAAGCAATTCAGGAGCTGTACCCTGGTGCGAATACAGAGTGGAAATGAGAGGTCCAGGATATGGATCTATTAATCAGGGAGTGGGCCCGTCTCAGAATACAGATGATTGCAGACCTAGAAAACTATCACAGAGAGTTCCTAGCAATCACATCATCCTAATCGGCAAAAACTGCATCTCCGAGTCAGAATGTAACAGCAGCCCAATCATTATCCTGACGATCCATACCCTGTCAACGATGTTTACGAAGTGGCCAAGTTTGTCCTGCATGGAACTAGCATGGTCAAGGCAGCATCGACTACTCCAGCTAATAGAGCGACGGGTATCAAAAGTGAGGACATCTCATTGTTAATAGAAAGCCTAGTGAAATCCGTAAAAATGCTCACGGTCACAGCAACGGGAGGGATAGCCAAGGCGAATGGCAGCACACAGTCTACAGTGGCAGGAAAGCCACCAGTTGCAAATGATATTGCAACTAATGCAGAGAAGCAGGGGAAATGATAGGAACCTGCAAGCACATTGAAGAAGATATTAAAAGCGGTAAATGTGTACGCAAGTTGTCGTTTTGCAGCTGGGAAGGTCATCCTACCAAATCGAACCTTCATACCTCACAATATTCCAGGAATCACCATTCACAATCAGATTTACGAGTGGCACAGATGCAACCAAACACTGGTTACTGCATCAGTTTCAGCAGCAAACCTATTCGAGGTCTCATCAGACAAAGCCAACTCATTCTCTCTTAGAGCAGATGATAGAATTGAAGCACTGGAGCGTGAGTTGTACAACCTCAAAAGGTCAAGGCCGGTATTCGACAGCATTCATATGCCACCTA